AACAAAAGACAAAGTATTGAAATAACTTACCTGTTAGCATGAAATTAGCGACAAAACGAAATTGTAAAAAAAAGGTGAAAACATTTCAAAAGCATGCAATGCGTCAAAACATCAATCCGTTTCACACAATATTAATACTGAAACGACAAAAAGATATGACAATTAGTTAGCACAAGTTACAAATACTTTATATAAAAACATAGTACGTAATAAGTGTCCTTCTACTCGAACATCCCCCCCCCCCCCGAGTCGTTGGAGGCGCAAAAAACGCCTTCCTGGCACGGTGCGCCTTTAACGACTGACGCATACGAGGACCCTGCTTTAGGATTTGTGATGAAGGCGCCATTCTTCCATGCATCGTCACCCCCAAATTTGGGAGGCGGGTGGCGGATCCTCTTCGGTCTGCTAACAACCGTATCAAGCGCAGGGTCAGCGACTTGGCCTGGCACTGGTGATGCGACTGGCTGGGATGTGTGTGGATCGCTGGCTTTCGGTTCCGGTGATAAGACGTCAGATTTAGCGGGAGGGTTGACCATTATGGTTCCTTGGGGCACCATAAAATCATCGGATAACATAGGTGTTTCCAGAGAGGGCGAGGAATCGGTGCCGAGTGGCTCCCGATGTGGAGGTATGGAACGGATTTATCCTTCTACATGAATCGCGAAACGCTGGAATTTCTTCAGGAAGCGGCGGTTGCGTAGAGTTAGACGGCGGGAATCGTCCACCCGGATAGTCTATTGTTCATTGGCACCTATCTGAACAACAATGCGTCTTGTCCCACTTAATGGATCTCAACTGAGTCTCCTATAAACAGAGGAGCAAGCTTGCGTGTATTGCTGCCTTGTCTATCGCCTGCTTTGCCAGCCTGGCACGAAGAGCAGATTCGTTCGCTCGCTATGTTTCCTTCCAATGACGATCGACCGGGATGGTTTCATCAAAAACGGAAACTCTGTTTGCAAAAAGAGGTGGTGCAGGAAGATAGTCACGAAGAGAGCGACCGAGAAGCACCTGGGCAGGGGACAGGCCGCTGTCATGTTCTGGTGTGTCTCGGAGCTTGAGCGAGCCACGCAAAACGGCATCCGTGTTTATGTCTCCGCTTTTGTCCACATTGTCGACATGAAGACGTTTTATGGCCTTTATCGCAACCTCTGCAGCGCCGTTTTACTGGGGATGGTAAGCTGAAGATAGTCGATGGATGTTACCCCACCGCGACTTGAAACCTTTCATGATATGCGTCGTGTATTTCGGTCCGCGGTCACTGGACAGGTGCTATGGTACACCAAATTGGGCGTACAATTGCCGCAACGCTTTCATCAGACCAGCGGCTCCGGCTTTAGCGGTGGCTGCGCTAGCCTGTCTCAAGTCAGGCCAATTGGTAAACTTGTCGACAGTTAGGAGGTAATTTTTCCCCCCACATTGAAACAATCGGTTCCAACTGCCTGGAAAGTATCACCGCAACAAATGGCTCGGCGGCTGGTAGATGCGGTTGGCTTGGTGATATGGAGTCAAATGTGCGACTCCATAAATAATGCGAAATGTGCGAAATAATCATAAGTTGGAGCATGTGAATGTCTCGAGATGTTTCATCTCGCACGCACTCCAACGTGACAGCATTTAAATGGGCCAAGCCTGGCCTGGCGGCGGCTATAATCTCTTCCTCGGCGTGATCGATGTCATCAACAACCCTCATGGTGTTTCACGCGGCAATAAAGTGAGATTCATTTTCGTCTTCGGTTCATTTTCCAAATCGGTTGTTATCAATCTTATCTAGTGTGCGGTTGCCAAGCAGCTTGACAAGCGGCGGTGGTCCGTCTGAATGTGGAGGTCATTGCATCCCCAAGTGAAAAATCGTGTGTCCTCTAGAGCCCATTCGACAGCGAGGTCCTCGCCTTCCACTGGCCAGTGGTTTTGTTCCGCTTTCTTGAGGAAGCGGGATCCAGCCAGGGTTATCCTCCAGCCATTACTGCAGTATCCCGTCGTAGTCGAGGGACATGCACCGTACTTTTGGTAGAGGAAATATCCGATTCCGGCCTTTAGACCAGTGCGGACTGAGCAGGGTGATGCAGTTGGTATCAAATATTTTAACCCCGATTTCGATGGCCTTATTGATTTCGTCCCTGGACTGCTGGATTGCGTTCTCCAGTGCGTCGTCCCAACTATATCGGGTCTTTGGAGACAATAGTGGCTTAAATTGAGTCGCGATTGCCGTCAACTGCGCGTAGTGTGACACTTGGTTGACGAGTCCAAACCAAGCCCGTATGTGGGAAATGTTTGTAGGTCGCGGAAAGTTCTTTATGGCGTCCAGGTAGTCCGGCAGTGGTTTCACATCGTCATTTTTAATAAGAAAGCCGGCAAATTCAACGACAAGCTCGCAAAATTGGAACTTCTTTGGATTTATGATGATTCTGCCGTTACCAATTTTAGTGTCAGATAGTCGATAACCCTCCACCAATGTACTTTCAGCGACTCGTCCCATAACAGTGCGTCGTCCACGCATTTAGCCTTCCTGGGGATGGAGACTATAAAATTTTCATACCGTTGATTATAGCAATCCCCCGAGGCTAGGTAACCTTGAGGTGCCACTTTGTATCGGTATCGGTGGTATTCCGTGATAAAGGTAGAAGATGACGATCCTCCTCAACGAGGGGAACTGAGTGGTTGCCATTTCAGGCATCAGTCACAGTTCTCCATGTGCCCGCCGGTACGATGCGTGCTTGTTTGTATGGAGGAACAAATTGCTGTGTCTCCCTGACGCAGTGGGTGTTTAGTGGGCGCATGTCAACAGTCCGACGTGGCGTGCCGTCACCTTTCGGCACGACGTGCAGTCGTGCTTGCCAATTTTTAGGCACTCCCGGAGGAACCTTCTCGATTTCGCCCAGAGCCTCGTCCTGGTCGAGCTGGGCTTTAACCTGCTCACGCCAATGTACGGGCACGGTAGCTGCCGTATACACGGTGACGGGGGTAGCGTTGGGATCCAGGTGGACTTTAATCGTATCTCCAGACATGAGTGGCAGTGGCTGGTGAGGGCATTTTTTGAATGCAGACGCCGCGAATGTTTTGAGAAGCCATTCTTTCATATTCGGGATAATTTCCGTTACCGGAGCAAAAGGGAGTTTCCCAGGGCGGTCGTGTGGGTGGCGGTGAATGGAGCAGCCACAAAAGGCAAGACCAGATGTCGGTTGTGCCTCTATTCCAGCGGAAGCAGTGGAGCAGATAACGGGAAAATTGGCGTTGATATAACCCAAATAGTTGATGGCTTGGTGACTTAGGTAGAACAAGTCAGTAGTTTCTGTCACATATACCATCGCCGCTGTTGTAGCCTTCCGGCCTGTGGACGTGTTCGTGCCAGATAAACGCAGGAATAGGGCACCCAGGACCTTGATGGCGTTCATTCGCTGCTAGACCTGTTCAAGGACGGATGTACTTAAGCCGAGACGGTCTAACACTTTTTTTCCCATAAGACATTACTGCGCGCCTGTATCGGCCACAATCGACAGAGTTGTAGGCAACATGTTGGTGTGTCTAAGGCGTAAGTGACTGTAAGCTGACGCGTCAATAGAGACACGCAAGATGACAATTGGATGTGGCATCGATGCTGCCTGTTTCCAATCGGTTGCGCCGCCGAACATGTACCTTGGGAATACTATGGTCTTCTGTGCCCTCGTATGATCAAGACCAGCGGCTGTTACAGGAGACGCCCATGTCGGACTTGTGTCTTAACTGACCGCCAAGCCAAACATGTGAGAGAAAGCGCCCGTCTCCATGTCAGACGACCCACTCTGGCCTTTCCTATTGCGCAACTCAGATCGCTTTTTCTTCCAACAGTTCTTGCAAAACTTTTCAGTGACAACAACGTCGGTCCCCGCCACCGTTCTCGCCCGATTCATCAAAAACTCGCCTTAACATGTCTGACATTTACCCTTATGGGATAGACGCGTGTCGTAAGGAGAAATTTTCATGGGTGTTCGTGAGTTTGACACTGCGAACAACGCACCAGCTGGAGGTGCAATCGAACCAGAAATGGACCGAGCAGCCATCTCCCTCGATGAGGGCTATAGTCTGATTGAGCATCTTTCCGTCTAAATCCTTCTTGATGTCCTCGTCAGACATTCGAGTGAGAATAACGAGCTTAACCATTTTCTGACTAAAATCGATGGTTGTGTCACATCCAGTTCGGGTGCACTGCTCAGTGAGCCTACAATTACAGGCTTTACCAAGGGCGCGAGCAGCAAACTGTCTGATCGGCTCCGTGTGGTCCTGAATCATGGACAAGAGCTCAGTCTGTAATATACTGGAAGCAACGTTGATCACGGCGTGTCTTTTAATGGCGTTCAAAATTTCAGCTTCGTTTTATCCGTTATTTTAGGGTCCTCTTTTTGTACACTTGCCTTCAGTTCAGCTTCGCAACAGTTCACAAGATAGATATTCACGCGACATTCCGGAAGGCTGTTTGCCTGTTTGAATGCTTCCCACTCCCTCGTGAAACAGTCCCAAGCGTGGTTGAGGTATAGGTGGAGCTTTCGCAGAAGCAGGGACTGGGTGTGCCGTGGACAAGTGTTCCCAAGCATGACAACTCCGGCGGCATCGGACACCACAGGGGAGTGTAGGTGCATCTGTCAATGTAGCACCATACTTCGGTCGTCCTTGTTGCCTTTGTTGTTCTTGAAGAGAATTAACACGCAAAAGCATGCCATGTGTCAAAACATCATTCCGTTTCACACAATGCTAATTCTGCAATGACAAAAAGACATGATGATTAGTTAGCACAAGTTTTAAATACATTACATAAAAACAAAGTACCTAATAAGGGTCCTTCTACTTGAGCAACTCTCAAAAATGTGTGACCAAATGAATAAAATTGTTACAAAACACTTGTTACATAATTTTAGTAACAATTGTGAAGTTGTGATTGGTTAAATTTTCTAAGTTTTAAACTAATAATGTGTTTGACACTTTTTATGATTTTTGATCATTTTGTACAAAATTATCAAAATTATTAGCCTAATTGTTGTGATAAACTTATTAAATAGATTTGTTATGTATGATGTTTGTGCCTGTTTGTGGAGCGCCCTTTGAGGGATTTTAGAGACAGGTCTGTCAAGTGGCTTTCTGTGGGGAGGTTGGAAACTGGAACTGGCTTGAAGAGTCTCGTGGTGCACCGCTGGACCTACTGAGCTCGGGTGAGATTGTTCCTTGTTTTTGATTATTATAATTCGATTTTAAAATTTAAATTAATTTAATAGTCTTTTATTTTTTTAAATTTTATTTGCTGATGTATAAAATTCCCACTAACCGCTTATAATGGGTTAGTTCAGTCCCCTGAAGTCCAGTCAAAATCCTTTTTTTTACCATTATGCTGAGTCAAGATGAGGAAAAATAACAAAGAGTGTACAAGCAAAGATTGCTTAAAACCTTCAGGACTGATAAATTGAATTAGATGTGATTGTTGTGTAAATATTTCTCTTAGCGACTCTAAGAAAACCCAATGGTTTCAGTGTCCTTTATGCGTTGATGTAAACTCTGTTAGTAAAGCAACAATAGGTAATGATTTAGTGCTAGACAATTATGTTAATACAACCATCTCTAATGTCCGAGTACTCAAGAGAGTACTAAAAGACTCGCGTGTTCCCTTGGCGGAAAGTCTGTCGGACAAAATAAATGTCATCGTCTACAATGTAGAAGATGTTACAAAATGGCTGACTTTTTTAACGTCGTTCTTGTTTTTTTGGAGCAACCGAAAAGAAGTGGACGCAAACAGACCACACGCATGAGCTCTTTGATTATTAAAAAATTTCGAGCAAATGACGTGTCACTTTCAAAACCCCATCCCCAAGTTTCAAGCCCGCCTCTGAGTGACCTCGATCAGAGAATAAAGCTAATAAGCAGTAAGCTCGATGAAGGAAATGTAAAGGGAGGAATCAGGCTTGCTGCTTCGGAGGACGAAATTGCTCCTTAAAACTGTCGAACCAACAACTCAGAATTGCGATAGGACTTCGATTAGGCTCAAAAATATGCGAACGGCATAAATGCGTGTGCGGAAAAGGCGTTACCGAGGATGGTTGGCATGGTCTTTCTTGCCTCAAAAGTGCTGGGAGATTCCCTATGCATTCAAACCTGAATGCACTTATAAAGCAGAGTTTATCTTCTACTCACATTCCGTCGGTTTTAGAACCACGACACCTCTACAGGACCGATCAAAAGCGACCAGACGGTTTGACGCTCGTTCCATGGGCTGTTGGTAAGCAGCTCTTGTGGGATGTAACGGTAGTAGACATCTTAGCTCCTTGTAGAATTAATGCCGGGTCTGTTTGTAACCCTGGTACGGCTGCCGCTGAAGCGGAAGAGCGAAAAATTGACAAGTATAAAGATCTTGTAATTGATGGATATCTTTTTCAACCACTAGCTTTTGAAACTCAGGGCGCGGCCGGCCCCAGCACAGAAATTTTTTTGAGCAAGCTTTGTAAGAACCTAAGCATATGCACTGAGGAACCCAGAGCAGGCAGCTTTTTAAAACAGAGAATCTCCCTGGCAATACAGATTGCGAACGCCGCTTGCGCACTCGGAACAATAAATGACAAATTGACTTTCGACAAAAAATTTTTTTTGTAACACTTGTGTATTATATTTTCTCGTGTCCAGTTGCGTGTTCTTTTTGAAGAAACGTAACCCGTATCGATTTTAATTAAAAAGGACTTAAACACTTGCATCTTCTTTTATCATTATCACTTCCATATCTGCAAAATTCCAAGGATTTTGACTGGAATACGTGATGAAGGGACTCCTGACTGTAACCTCGGTTACTATGATACTTTTGACCTTCTGATTACCTGTATTTTTTTTCTTTCGTACAAATAGCCTAAAATTTTAAAACCTGAAGATGCACCAAAGTGTGCGAAAATTTTTGTTTGAATTTACAATTTTAACGCATTTTTAAATCATTTAAATGTAAAATTTAGAAACCCTACAGCGTTGAGACAATTCTTAATCACAGTCTTTCCTACAAGAAGACTTAATTTCAGTTTTTTCCGTTTTTTTACTTGGAAAGTTTAACAATTTTATGATCTCATTATATTTTACCTTGTTAGAATTGAAACGGTCTACATTGTAGCGTCTAGCTTCTTCTACCACAGCCTGGAACAACTTAGCAGCCCGGAAAAAGAACAATTTCTGCCCAAAATACCAGCTCTTCTTGGAATTTCCTTAATTGCGATCACCACAATTCCACAGAAGAACATCGCAAGCCTACTCTGCAGGGCACCTCTGGCAGAAAAACGTCAGGTGGTGGTGTTCAACCGCACAAACAATTACAGAGCTTGCACTGCAGAGGAATTGGCAGAAAACCTGAAGACACTGACAAATATCAGAGCAATTGTATACTGTCAGAGATACGGTACACCAGATATCAGGAACCAGCTGATCAGCACGGGAGTTCTTGTAATTCCTATTACGAGGTGTCTCATTTCGAAGAGGAAGAGAGGAACGGAGCTGGTGAACGAATATCAGGCACTGCACCAGGACGTCCAGCTGGAGCTAAAATCTTTGCGGATTGTCTTCGAACCCCAATACAAACTGGCAGCGGTTTTGTCGAAGCTTCGATCAAACACGAAAAAGAAATCGCAAACGAGAAGGAGGGCCGAGAAAAGAAGACTGGTGAACAGAGGCGAGGAAACAGTTGGACCGACTGCCGAGGAGGCTTCAACGGAGAGGGTGAAATAGAGTTGTGTTTTTTTGTTGCTTTGTGTCACTGAGGTTCATTCTTCGTGGCTTGCAAAACAATGAGTGACTGTACTCCCACCTCCAATCTTGATTGGGACTTTAAAAAAGAATTTCATTTGAAAATTAGTCAATGATTATGCGTCCATATATGTTAAATTTATCAACTGCCACCAATATTTTGAATTTCTGAGAGTTTGTCAAGAAAACGACCTTATACCTGATTTTTTGAGGTTCAGGGTACCGGAAAGTGGGGTATTTTTGAATTAAGTGGTACAAAGTTTTCAGACAAAACTTCTAAGAACGGAGATTAACAAGGCCAGGACAGATGAGAAAAACGTCGAAGGCAAACTGGAAAAAAAGATTCAGAGGCGCAGTACAGAGGGGTGTATATGATAAGTTTTGTCCTTCGGTAATGAAATTATTAAGTCTCAGGAGACAAAGACAAATAACAACAGTTAAAAAGAATCGTCAAAAGAAGCTATTAAGACTATCAGAAAGGCAAGATCGACCTCTAGGGAAGCAAAGTGAGGGTTCGGTCAAAGCCCTTGATGATATTGAATTATCAGATTGGGTACAACAAGTGTTGGTATTAGGGCCAAAACATCCTGTCAGGGATAAGTTTAATGAGACACACTCTCTCGCTGATATTGACATCTGTCTTTCGTCGATCTCAACAATCATCAAGTCCTTGGGGAGGCCCTTTGGTGAGATCGAAGCAGTGGCAAAAACCTATGCTAAAAGGGTGAAACAAACACCATCTGACACGGTTGTTGAGAAGGCCCGAAAGTATCTGAAGGTTAATGGATTACTTGCAGTACCGTATGACAAGGGGCTGGTTTTTGTAAAAGAGGAAGGATACCTAGGAGAACAAGTTATCTGACTTATTAGATTCAAATCAGTTCAGCGAAAGCAAAGGAACAAGTGATGCCATTATTGTGAAGTTAGAAAAAGATATCAATAGGAAGTTTTTGGCAACGAGGAAAAAGACGAAATAGGTAAAAATCTCTACACTAGGATGAAGTTTACTGGGGGGGGGGGGGGGCGCCCGCCAGGCTTTATGGGCCGGCGAAGATGCATGAAGAGAACAACTCAATGAGACCGGTCCTCTCCTTGCGTGGTAGCTCTGATTGTAACCTGAACAAGATTCTTGCAAAATTCTTGAGAAAATTTCTCGTTGCCTTCAATATTTTGAATTTCTGAGAGTTTGTCAAGAAAACGACCTTATACCTGATTTTTTGAGGTTCAGGGTACCGGAAAGTGGGGTATTTTTGAACTAAGCGGTACACAGTTTTCAGACAAAACTTCTAAGAACGGAGATTAACAAGGCCAGGACAGATGAGAAAAACGTCAAAGGCAAACTGGAAAAAAAAGGTTCAGAGGCGCAGTACAGAGGGGTGTATATGATAAGTTTTGTCCTTCGGTAATGAAATAATTAAGTCTCAGGAGACAAAGACAAATAACAACAGTTAAAAAGAATCGTCAAAAGTCAAAAGAAGCTATTAAAACTATCAGAAAGGCAAGATTGACCTCTAGGGAAGCAAAGTGAGGGTTCGGTCAAAGCCCTTGATGATATTGAATTATCAGATTGGGTACAACAAGTGTTGGTATTAGGGCCGAAATATACTGTCAGGGATAAGTTTAATGAGACACACTCTCTCGCTGATTTTGACATCTGTCTTTCGTCGATCTCAACAATCATCAAGTCCTTGGGGAGGCCCTTTGGTGAGATCGAAGCAGTGGCAAAAACCTATGCTAAAAGGGTGAAACAAACACCATCTGACACGGTTGTTGAGAAGGCCCGAAAGTATCTGAAGGTTAATTGATTACTTGCAGTACCGTATGACAAGGGGTTGGTTTTTGTAAAAGAGGAAGGATACCTAGGAGAACAAGTTATCTGACTTATTAGATTCAAATCAGTTCAGCGAAAGCAAAGGAACAAGTGATGCCATTATTGTGAAGTTAGAAAAAGATATCAATAGGAAGTTTTTGGCAATGAGGAAAAAGACGAAGTAGGTAAAAATCTCTACACTAGGATGAAGTTTACTGGGGGGGGGGCGCCCGCCAGGCTTTATGGGCCGGCGAAGATGCATGAAGAGAACAACTCAATGAGACCGGTCCTCTCCTTGCGTGGTAGCTCTGATTGTAACCTGAACAAGATTCTTGCAAAATTCTTGAGAAAATTCCTCGTTGCCTTCTATATTTTGAATTTCTGAGAGTTTGTCAAGAAAACGACCTTATACCTGATTTTTTGAGGTTCAGGGTACCGGAAAGTGGGGTATTTTTGAACTAAGCGGTACACAGTTTTCAGACAAAACTTC